CTAGATGTAATCACGTGACGAGACAGGTGATATAGAGGACATAACTGTTTTTAAAAATTGCCGTTATGTCTATTTTATAATTCGACATATAGATTCGATACGAATCTAAAAATAATTTTCTCACAATTTAGATTTAAAGATAAATGTTTTTTAAATATCTCTTTTTTTTTTAAATTTAAAAAGAAAATATATTATATACTTAATGCGAAAGCCTAATCTCGTGTGTCAGGATGGCCGAGTGGTCTAAGGCGCCAGACTCAAGGTTCATAACCTTCTCAGTACAACTGATTGAGTGTTCTGGTCCACGAATGTGGGCGTGGGTTCAAATCCCACTTCTGACAATAATTTTTTTAATTTGCCGTGATTTCACTTTATGTGCTGCGTGAGCCTGAATTCCACTTCTGACAATATATATATATATAAATTATTTTTTTATTTGCCGTGATTTTACTGTATGTGCTGCGGGATAAGTTTGAGCGTTCTCGCGCATTGATAGACCTCCACCTAAAGTATCATTGCTGATCGTTCTCATAATAAAATAAACTGGTTATGAAATACCATTAATTGGCCGGCCTTCTTATGTTAGAAAACTTATACCAGGAGCCCGGCAGCATTTATGAAAGCTAACGTGCAGTCTATGTATTATATAGTTTTGTCTTTATTGTGGTTGGACGTGGTCGATAAGAGACTCGTTTTCAAATCCAGCTGTGACTGTCTGCAGCCCAAGGTCGGTGTTCGAAACCGGGCGGTTCCCGGGGTTCACCCAGCCTCTAGGAAATGGGTACCAGAGTTGACACTCTGGGGTAAATGAAGAAACGTCGCTGTAGCTACAGAGTTATGTGCGAACGGCGACACAGGTGGACAATTTGTATCTACTGTCCGTACTGGTGGCAGAGCACTTGTGGTTTATAACCGAGTGCAATGACGCTGGTTCACATCTCCCGACTTTACCTTTACAGGCCAGACTGCGTCTCGGTTTTCAGCATACAGTTGACAGTGTTGGAGCATATGCTTGGCATTTTCTCGTGCTACTTTACAGGGACACATCTCCGTGTTTCCTCCACCAAAAAGTTTTAACATATGTCCTTAGTCTGAATATAATACACTGTTCCTCTATACAAAGGTGATGAAACTAGACTTGATAAGAGAATTGTGTGTGTGTATTCAACCACCTTTGTTGGATACTAGATTTTATCAATGTCTTAGTCTCTTGGTGGGTTAAGTAACTATTTGATATCTTGACCTCATAAAACATTACTCAGCATCCATACCTGACCCGGACTTCGGGTTTGTTTGTAACTGACGAGAGCTCCAGTATAACAGTACTTTTGGACGAACTCTTCTGGTACTTCTGGTGCATAAAACATTCTTTCCTCGGGGTGTTAATCCCACAGATTGCAAACCATGGATGGAACAAACTATAGTAACAATGCAACGACCGAAGAAACGTAATAGATGTGATTAGCTTAGCTGGCCTTCATTTCAAGATTAAGTAATCAAGTTAGTATCACACTCTCGACGTACTAACTCGGTCCTGTCTACATTTACAACTAAAGACAAACGCGTAAACACTGGTGACTACAGACTGAGCTGATGACAAGAACTACTAAAAGCAGCATGATATAAGGCTAGAACATTCATAGATAACTTCTTGCTACAGAGTTATTGGTCATTACAAGAAAACAAATATGCTGCGTGGTCTTGAGGCAAGATGTCCGCCTCGAGAGTTAGATGTACCGGGTTCAAGCCCCGGTGAAGGCTGGGAGTAGCCTAAAGGCGCTGCCCGGGCAACATTTGGAGTTAAAAATCTACCCAAAAAGTATTTCAGGATCATCGCCGGTGCAGAAGAGTTCGTGCACTGTGCTGCGATTCTTCAGACTCAGGCTTGAGTTAAAATAAGAACTGAGCACTTATGGGTTACACCCGTGTGCCATGGTGTTGATTTGTTGAATACAATTAGTTGCGTATCCTTTACAGGACGGTGCAGAACCAACCCTAGCAGTTTTTTTTTTGGCTGTTGTGGTTTTTCTAGGCACATTTACGTCCAGTAGTTTGCCCATGCTTTCTGGACGGTCAACTTCTCGATACCACTGTCGAATCCAACGCAAGGCGCAAGACCCGCAGCTGGAATCGAACCCGGCACCCTGGCATTACGAAGCTCGTTCGCAACGCCTAAGCCACAGGCGCCGACGTTGAATAAACAAAAGAGAAACAAAAAATATATAAAATCAGCCACAATAGTTGTGTCGGTTCTATTCACGTAGAGCGGCCCACAGTGAGAGTGACTTCCCCTTCTTGTGTCATGTTAAATTTGACCAGAATTAAGTAGATAAGTAGTGTATATCTTTAAAACTAGAGCCAATCAATATTTTTTTAATGTGATTTTCGTTTTCAGTACACCAAACTTAGTTAAAATCAGTCACTTTCATTTATAATGTATTTTAGTTGTTGACTAGTATATTCGTTCGAAAGCCTGGATTCACCTTTCCATTTCCACAGTGAGAGTCCAACTCTCAAATTCGTATACGAAAAGAGAAAATTCCAGTGATTTGTATGTATCGACATTTACTGCGATGCTGATTTTGTTGCTCCGCATCGCATTCAGCTGGCACATCGCGGCTGTTGCCATATCAAAACGAGCAGAAATACAGCCGAACTTTTCGACCAAAGTCTTTATCGACGGTGTACTAAATACAACGATAACACAAACTGGGACTCGAAACATCCACGGACAAGACAACAGAGCTTATGAACAACTAATGTCCACATGAAATCAAGAATACCCAAGTGGCCTGTGTTGCCAAGTTATGTCACCCCTTCAACCACTAGATAGTTGTCCTGTAAGAACTATTGACCAAGAGATCCCAATTGACTCCTTCTAGCAGCATGTTCCTCACACAGTAATGATCTATGTGTGCCTCCGCACTGTGCACTCCCCTTTCACTCCCTCCTAAAGGACCCCTACAACCTTTAGCTTGTTATAATTAATTCGCCCCATATGATACCACGACATCCAGCTTAAGAATGGAGGTGGAGGCGGTCACTGCAGTTTTCCGCTGGTTACAGAATGCGACACACACACACAAACACATCGTGATTGTAACTGACTCAGAAAGCATGCTGAAGAAGATCAGGACAGGCATGATTCGTGCAGAGTGGCATGCTTCACTGCGGCGGACGTGGGTGAGGAGTATTGTCTGGATTTTTTCTCCGAGAAACGCCTGTGTGTTGGAGAATGAACAGACGGGCAGACTGGCTGGCTCTGCACAACCAGGTGGAATACTGATGCATGATAGGACAGACATGGTTAGTGTCTTGTGGGAGAGCGTGTACAGTACGGAGGCGCAGATGGATCACCACAGCCTGGTGAGACTGATGCAGCGGGAAGTGACGAGGGGTTCTGGCCGATGCTCGAGGCTCAGAGGAAAAACAAGACGTACGTTTAATAATCAGAATGCTACTGGACCATTAGTATTGGAACTCTGCGCTGGCTGCTGAAGATGGGGACGGAGCGCTCATGTGAATGCCCGAGTACTGTGATGTCGGCTCTTGAATCAACTCAACTAAACTCGCCACAAAGTGGCACAGAACCAGCCAGTATGTCTGCCTGTTCGTTTTTCAGCACGCCATCTTTACTCCCAGTTCTCGTATTCTTGACGCGCAATTCCCAGACCACCCCCCCCCTCCCCCGATCGCCCTATGCTTCTAAGGGCATTCGCAGCGTTGGTGTGATTCACAGGACGGTCTTCTGAAACATAAGGCAAAGCCAGTCAGTATGTAAGCTCTTTCATTGTTTACGACACCCGAATGCCCTGTGACATGAAACGCTGGCTATAATGTATCCTATCTTTACCTAGAAAGTGGCATAGACGTGCTTCACCAGGCTTTACTCCCACGTAGCAAAATCGTGTAGTCAAATAATCGTCATTATCCACTAGCCTAGTCCGTACAACGTTGATGATCCTTGCTCTGTCTACCCCCCCCCCCCACCCCACCCCCGCATGCGTTGGTGCACTGCAGCCGATGCAGTTTTCCGAACATGCTGCTTGTCAGCTGGGTAAATAATCTGCCTTTTGTAAACCCTAAAGGCTGGAGCCCGAAGACAAAATATCACATAAATCAGAAGGAGACAGTCAACATTTTTCGGCCATGTCATGGAAAGTCATAAAAGAAAGACCACAACTAAAGAATAACAAGGGAACCAGGATGTCTGTGTAACAGGGAAGATATTAATTTATCGAGGGTGGTGATAATAACGACATCAACATACAGATAACACTGGACCAAGTAAAACGATTCCTTTATCTTTAGTCAGCGGTAACATGTGATGGAAAAAGTAACCTTGAGATAAATTGCAACATAATGCAAGCATCGGCTGCATTGCATAATATGACGAACATTCTTTCTGACGTATCCCTGTCTACAGAAGTTAGGAAACCAGTTTGAATATGTTATACGGTTCTTTATTACCTCAGATGACATCACAGGACAGTCCAACATTTTAGAGTTTGTTGAGACTGGGTTTCCTAGCTTTTTAATGCTTTTAACGACCCCCCCCCCCCCCCCCCCCCAAAAAAAAAAAAAAAAAAAAAAAAACAACCTGTAACTGGCCCTAATCCCAACACACCTTCTAGCCTCCGTTATAAACTACCCAAAGCAGCTGTAGTGGCATAGTGGTTGACTGTTGTTAGTCTGTCTGCCTATCATGATAGTGGTCTAGGTTTAATCTCCAGCAGATGTATAATGGTTACCCAATACCCTTCCACCAGTCAAGCTGTAGGATCGACATAGCCGCGTACAAATTGATATCCTAATATTCTTGACTGTCTAGCATCTTTCATAGCTATTGTTCACACAGGATCGATGTCCAGGAACTTTCTATTGGATTATCTCCCCATGGACATGCGCCGTCGGCCAAAATAAACGCCACCTAAAAATCTCTGGAGCCGTCTGAGGATTTCGGGGATTATGATACTGGGAATATAACCACTCTACCGAAGATGACTACTTTTGCTGACAACTTTTGGGTGAGTCTTCCACAATATATGCTCGTCGGAATGTTATCAATGTGCTTGGTTTACGGAGGTATTGATTAGCTGGTTGGCACCTCACTTTGATAATTTCTTCACGTTAAAGATGGTCATTGGGGCGTCGGAGGTGTACTGTACTGTGTCAGATAATTTCACTTTGATGTCAACACGGAAAACAAAAACCAGAGATTAGCTAGAGCAGATATAAATACAGTAAAGGAATGTTTGTTACTTTCCGGAAATTGTGTGTATGCATTGTTAGCAGTATCTGCTGACTTCAGCACTTAATAGAGAAAGAAAGTCAAAGACACTTAGACAGTCAGTCACAGGGGTAAGAAACTAAATTAAACTAAACTTATTTTCGTTTCTCTCGTGAAGGACTTGACTAGTTAGTGGTTATGTTTATAAGACTACACACCACTACACACGTTTTTAGTTTATTCTACAGAATAAATACTACTAAACAAAGCCAATGTCATTTTAAAGAAAGTGCAGAATAAATTATGGACTTTGAGAACTTCCTGATGATCGGAAATATTGGACAAGAGGTGGTATAGTAATTAGTATAGGAGCAAATTTAGATTGAGAGAAAAAATGTTTGTGTGTCATATTTACAAAACTGGACTTTGAATTTTCAAAAATCAGCCTTGCAAAAATAATATAATTTTATACGCTCACTTACTCTGAAAAATAATATATGATGATTACAGTTTATAGTGAAAACTGCAGATCTATAATTAGTATAATTATTGTCTAAATTTTAGACTATACTACCTGCATCCAATGTTGTTACCTCTCTTGTCTTTACATTTCTCATATTATATCAGGAGATATCGGCACCCCCATTGTACACCTTTCTTATTTGGCTGATATTTGCTTACTTCGTAATTAATTTATTGAGGTAATAAAACTGAATAAAGTGTTTAAAGGTGCTAAGCCAATACGTTTTGATTTGAGTAATTTGCCAAATGGTTTCAACATTGAGGTTGGAAACAAATTTGAGGCGCTAATGTCAGTGCAGGAGGATAAAACACCTGATGAGTTGGCTGATGAAACAAGAAACATCATCATCACAACAGCTCAGAACATGATTCCTAAAAAACCACACAAGAAACAGATTTACATTACTGAAAAAACTTTCAAGCTGATAGAAAAAAGAAGAAATTTAAAGCAAGTAGGAACATAAAAAAATAGCCGTGCATATAGGAACTACACGAAATAAATCAGAAGAGCTATCAGAGGAGATAAAAAACAGTAACACATTAACGGAAACCAAAGACATATTAGAAAGATGGAAAGAATACTGTAGAGAAATGGATGAGGATGAGACTGGTAATTCAAAAACGACTTGTGATAGTTATGAAAAAGAACCAGAGCCTTTACTGGATGAGGTACGATCAGCAATACACAGCCTGAAGAAAGGAAAGTCACCAGGTTGCGACGAAGTACCAGCAGAACTAATTCAAGCAGGAGGAGAGGCCAGCGTCCGAATCTACCATGCACTGTGCTCGAAGATCTGGAACAGTGGCATTTGGCCTAAAGCTTGGAAAAGAACAGTCTATATCCCTCTCCCAAAGAAAGGAAATCCAAAACTATGCTCCAACTACCGTACCATCGCATTAATAAGTCATGCTTGCAAAATCCTCTTACGAATTGTCATAAAAAGGATTGAAAGGAAATTACAATATGAACTAGATGAAGCACAAGCGGGTTTCAGACAGGGTAGAGGAACTAGGGATCACATATTTAATATGAGAATAATTTGTGAAAAATGCAGAGAATACAATGTAGATCTTCATGCTTGTTTTATTGATTATAGCAAGGCATTTGATTGTGTCCAGCACCACCAACTGTGGACTGTTATGAAAAGTATGGGGTTTCCAGCGCATTTAGTGCATTTAATTGAAAATCTCTATCATGAACAGCAAGCAGCCATCGGAGCAGCTGGTGAAACATCTGATTGGTTCGAGGTGCAAAAGGGGATGAGACAGGGGTGCATTCTCTCACCATATCTATTCAATATATGCGCAGAAAATATAATGAGAAATGTCAAAAATGACCAGACTTGTGACAGTTATGATCCGCTCAAAATTGGTGGCAACCCTATTCCGGAACTCCGCTACGCAGATGACACAGTCCTCCTTTCGAACAGCGTAAAGGGAATAGAAAATTTAATATTGTCCGTCCAAAAGCACAGTGAAGATCAAAATCTGTTCTTGAATTTAAAGAAAACGAAAATAATGTCCACAGATAAAACTGGCTGTCACCCAAAAAATAACAATAAATGATGAAGAAATTGAAAATGTCACAAACTTTGAATATCTAGGCTCTGTAATAAACAACAATGGAGACTGTTCGACAGAAATTAAAAGGAGGATGGCCATAGCAATGCAAAGATTGAACAGCCTTAAAAGTCTATGGTTAAGCACCAGCAAGGAGATAAAAATTAGAATTTTGAGTGCATGCATCTTCCCTGTGGCTACATACAGATGTGAGTCGTGGACTATCTCTCAGTCCTTAAGAAAGAGAATAGGGGCTTTTGAGCTGAAATGCTATAGAAAGATTCTCAGAATATCTTGGACAAAGAAGATGAGAAATATTGACATCTTGAGGGATCTGAACATCAGGGAAGATTGGCTAATAAACAGCATCCTTTCCCGAAAGCTGAAATATTTTGGTCATATCAAGCGCCACGACGGATTGGAAAAAATTATAGCAAAAGGCATGGTACCAGGAAGGAGGGGCAGAGGCCGACCGACACGAAGATGGGCACAGGATATAAGTGACTCCTTGAGTGTGAAAGTTCATGAGGCGGGAGAACTGGCAAGAGACCAAGTTTCTTACAGGCAGACTGTGATGAGAGCAACGTTCTGCAAAGGACCAGCTACATGATGATGATGATGTGCATCGCTAAAGTTCAACATTTTCCTCAGGCATTTAATCTTACACAGGTCACTAATAAAACATGTGAATGGAAATAATCAGTAAAGATGAATAGGGCAGGGAATTAAATACAGTTCATTCCATTGAGCCTACACAAATTTTTGTTGTTACCCATGATCTTGTTGCTGTGTGGCTTCACAATGACTAAAAATATATATGCACTCCCCCACCACAATTCTCCCCCCCCCCCCCCCCAACCACAAGTCCTCCCCCCATCCCCCTTAAAAAAACCATTTTTATGAAGATATGTAATAGACGGCAGTGCATGATTAGGGCTGTTTTGGTGCCGAATGGATAGTGCCTGTATTAAACCCTAGCGGTTGAGAAAATATAGTTATAGAAGGCACATTCTTTTAAGAAGAGTTAGAAGTCGACAAACATTTTGGTGAACACAGTGCTGGCTAATATTTTTACACCTAAAAATATCAACCCTATGGAGGTGTGTGGTTGGCCCGTGCACTGACAAGTCAGACGCACTATGCGATGTCAAGAAAACTCTACACACACAAAAAAGGAAACACTTCTTACAAAGCAAACACAAAACACTTCAGTAGCAGCAAATACATAGTTTTTAATATTGCCAGTAATAATAATAATAATTTTTTGGGGCTTGAAATGTTTCAAAACAAGGTGTAAAACACAGGGCCACATCACAGTTCTTGCACTTGTGTCTGGTGTTCCATTGCTTTTTGCACATAACACACTCTCTCTTGTTAGGCCCCTCTTCTGTGATGTTTTGGACTGTTGTTGATGGGAAGTGTCTCTACACCAACTGTATTGGCAAATCTTCACTCCTTTGTCCTCCTACACTCTTTCTCTTTTCCTTGCAACCTTTTTCTAGAATTTATGTTATTGATTTGAAATGAAAACTTTATGTTAGGAATGTGAATTCAAAATTGAGAGATCTAACTTGGGGGAGGGGGGGGGGGGGGGTGATTGTACCATTTTACAATGGACTCAATAGAACTGACAAGCATGTCAGTAAGATCTACTTCTTATTTTTCTTCTTCTTCTTCTTCTTCTTCTTCTTCTTCTTTTGTTCGCCTGAAATAAGTTGTCTATATCAGCAATTTTGTCTCTTTTAAAAATTTCACTGTCGTTGTTAGTTCATTCAGTGGTCCATAGAGTTTACGTTCCACTGTTGTTCTTTCTGGCCAAAAGGTTTGCCTTAATGTGTCAAATTCGGTGCAGTCTTGAAGTACATGCTCTGCTGTCTGGGGCACCTTTCCACAGGTACACATTGCTAATACGCCTATCTTAAATTTTGTGTACATGTTGTTACGTAATCGGTTGTGCCCTGTTCTGAGGCGGTGGATAATGACTTGTTCTGATCTGTCTAAAATAAAATAGTCGTCTTGTGCTGGGGCTGGTGGTTTCCTGATCAATTTAATGGTTCTTTTCTTTTGTTGGTATGTGACTGGTACATCCCTCTGCACTTTTTCGCAAGTAAGATCTACTGAACCCATATATTTGTTATAATCCACAACACACTTTGTCATCTTCAGCCAGTTTTCTTGCCATTTTGTGTAAACACAATGTAGACTAATGCAAAGCCACAAATAAATTTCAGAGTACAAAATACACAGATCCTCAACTAGGCTTTTGCAGTAAACAAAGCAGCATGATAATGTGGAACGCCATCCCACTGACCTATGCCATCCTACTGAGTAAACATACCTAAACGCATGTTATAGGATGTTTGATCGTATGTGGACAGGTCAGTTGGATCCGAATATGGCTAATGTATGTTGCCCTTTAACACCTGAAAATAATGGTTCTTAGCAGTCTGTAAGGAAAGTCGATAATGTTTTCTCACCAGTAAGGCACAGAAACAATAAAGATGGCCTAGCACCCAAATTGCATGCCTTGAAAAATAAAGAGTTGGTCGAATACAATTTCTTAAAGTAAATTTTCAAAATTAGACAACCTACCCCCGCGCCCCCCCACCACACACACACACACACACAATAATAATAAATAAATAAATAAATAGAATGAACAAGGCTAGCAAATGGTGGTGAATATCTGATGCTTACATGATTGCAAGCCCTGGGAGTAGAGCTTGGCATATCTATGCCAACTTTGGAGCCCAGACAGGAAACATTATAACCAACTTCTCATGAGAATAGTCAGTAGTTACCTTGGTGTGGCTGCTGCATCTGTGCGTGATCACTCATGGGAATGCCCACTGAGCAGTGACGTCAGTTGTGATAACATAAAATAATATAATAAAGCCTGTGTGGTCTAGTATATCCACAAATTCAATCATCATTTGTCCTACAGAGTTTGTGGGTCTCAGTGACATCATGATCAAGCCTTTTGCCTGGTGCTTTGAAAGTCATAGGTTCTTTTCATGTCATTTAGTTCACAAATACAGTTTTTACAGAGATCACAGAAGATCATCAGGATTATCACTGGAGCTATGGAGTACCTAAATTGTGTGACCCTCTCAGCTGTTGGCTACCTGTTCTGAAAAGAGACCAAACAATATGGGATAAAACCCAGTGCAGTGAAGTCGATCCTCTCTACTTTATCTCAACTTTAGCTACAGAGTTGGTGCAGAGTGTTGAGATCTCTGGCATGGAGTCCAGATTGTTTTGTGGAGGTACAGTGTAGACGATCCTTTACAAATAGACATTAATTACAAACACATGGTGACATACATCATGCGATTGCTACACGTGATTCATGATCAAAGGATTAGTTTTAGTAAATGAGTTCTCCCTGTCATTGTAGGGAGAAGCAAGAAAATACCCACTGCTCCCTGATAAGTATGTCATAAGAGTCTACTAATTAAGATTTTTCCTTCAAAGTCAAAGTGCATCTGCCTGACAGGCGAGGAACCATCAGGTTGCATACAGATAAGCCACATCTGTAAAACTTATATGCATGCAGCACTCATAGTTCTGGGTCAAGACTAAAGTCCAGAAGCTGATGAACAACCAGAACTTTTAGCTGGAGTTTACAGCCGGTGAACAAGAAGAAGAAATGTGTTCAGGATATTCATTTGCACAGCTTGAAAGCAGTATACAGTTGTCACTTGCACTGTGCTCTGATGGTTGTAGAATTGAATTCAGGCTGCATCCATCAGTATGCGAACGCGGGTGCATCAGAGATTCCTCAGAGTCATCAGTGAAGCTATGAACTTCATGCTTTGTGCTGCACTCTTGACCTTTCTGTAGAGAGAGAGACTGGGGACTGAGCCTTACAGGAACAAAATCACATGTAATGATGTTGATCCTCTTGTCTGTTTAACATCTTCTGAAATAAAATATGAACATATTGCAGGGTCCCAAGAATAATGGATACTTTACATTATATCACAACATGAAGCATGGTCATACATCTACAAAAGAACTCATTGACTTCTTGCGGGAAAGGTTTGTTTTGTTTATAAATTATTTTGTGTTCAGTTATATTTGTTAGCTACATTGGTTGTTTGTATGCTATTTATGATTGCATGAGTTTTATGCCTGTATAATTATGAACCTATGTGTGTGTGTATGAGTGTGTGTGTTTCAGTTTAGTATCTTCTTCTTTGTTCACCGGCTGTAAGCTCTGGCGGAAAATCCTGTTTGTTTATCCAGTTGGACTTTGACTTTGTTGCAGGGTCTGAGTTTTGCATGTACATCGGCTTTACTGGCTTATTTGTCTGCAGTTGATTGTCCCTTGTCGCTCAGGCAGATACACTATGACTTCGAAGGGAGTCCCCAGTTAGTCGACTCCTACAACATGCTTGTTAGGCAGACAGTGGGCCTATTCTTGTTTCCCCACAACGGGGCCCTGGAACCCACATGTGGAGAGTGTATGTATTATGTGTATGAATGAGCGTGTGAATGGACACTTCCAGCCCAGTATGGAGGACTAGACATGGCAGAATATGTAGCTTTGAAGTTACTGTTGCTTCTGACAGTGCTTTGCAAATGCAGTTGCATTATATGGACAGATTTCTCCGGCTTCGCTGTCAAAGCTACTGAGTTAAGTGCTTGGTGCAGCACAGCAAGCTCTGTTTTTCATTTGTGCAGTGGTTGAATTGTGATATTAAGTATGGGTGTAGACAATTTACGTTTGGGCTGGCGAAATACCTTACTTAATAACTTTATGGGTGCATAGCCAATTTGTTACCAACTACTTCATCAACAAACTGCATTTCTGGTGACGGCTTGACTTTGGCGCCTCTAACAACTGCCTTGTACATTTCCTGCTTGCGTATATTTCTGGAGTGTGCAGTGACTAATTGTTTGCTCATCAGTTTTTCAAATGGGAAAGTGAGGGACATTTCATTTGATTTTCACTGGCACAGGAACGGAGCAAGTATAGGGTGACCCGATTTCAGTGAAGTTTAAACCGCTACTAAAACTAAGTCTATGAGTGTGTGAATGTGTACATATTTGTATGCATAAGTGGCTGTGTGTGTGGGTGCATATGTGAGTGTATGTATGGGTATGTATGAGTGTATGTATGTGTGTGTTTGAAAATTATTTTTACTTGATAATTACACTATATATATATATATATATATATATATATATATATATATATATATATATATATATATATATATTTATATATGTATATTGCTATACAAACATAACATGCTTTGTAGTTAAAATATAACTGCTGTGTGAAAGATAAGTTGACCCTTTAAAAATAAAGTGTGTTTTTAGCATTTTCTAGTATCCCTGAGTTGGATTTGTGAAAGCAGGATGCTGTGGACCATAATGCATGGAGGTAGAAAGTCAGGAAAGGAAGTTGGGTAAAATAGAAAATGATTCCAGATAGATTAGGAGCTGAATGTCTGAGAAGCACGTTAAATATGTGAGAGGACAACAATTGTTCCACCAACATTGATGCACTTGTCCCGTTATTTTATCAGTCCTCCCAAACCTGCTGCATAGAACAACTGCATGCTCTGTTTTCTAAACCACATTTTCACTTCACATTCAACTTCTGCTCATTCGCAAAATGTCTTCCACCAGGGTAGGTTTATAGTAGACCGAAAAGGTGGAAATCGCTAGGGGCTAAGTCGTGGCTTTAAGCTGGAGATTAAAGAAGTTCTCACCCTAGATGGTTAATATTCTGAGTTAACCGAGTCGTATGTGGTCTGGCATTGTCATGAAGGAGCATTATTCTTCTAGTCAGCAGGCCTGGACGTTTTCTTCGAATTGCATCAATAAAAGCATCAATAGAACTTTACAGTATGAATCAGCATTCACATTGACTTCTCTTTTTTTTTTAAATTGGTCACAAGCACTCCTTAACAATCCCAGAACACTTTCAGCATAACCTTCCCTGCTGATGGCGTCACCTTGAATTTTGTTTTGTTTCCATTGCATTGATGAAAGCTTTGGCTTGGGCTGGTAGTGGTGCACCCATGATTCGTCCCCAGTAATAATCCTGTTCAGCATGTCTTCTCCTTAATCTGCATATCGACAGAGATGCTGCGAGGACGTGCCTAATGGGTTCATTTTGTGTTCGTCCGTCAGTTGTCTGGGTACTCACCTTGAGCACACTTTCGTAAATTTCAATCGATCCTACATTATGTTTTATGCAGAACCATGTGAGCACTCTACTGCAGCTGCTACAGAGTCAACCGTAACTTGCCTGTCACTTCTAATCATCTCCTCCAACCGCTGCACGTATGCATCTGTTGCTGTCTCAACAGGACGACCAGATCGGACTTCATCAACAATTTTAGAGCGCCCTTAAAATTTTTTTTTAAACCCTGCTATGCACCACTGTATTGGATAAACATTTGTCAGCATAAAAAGGAAGCATTTCCTTATGAATATCTTTTGCGGGCAGCCTTTTAACCCCCCCCCCCCCCCCCCCCAAAAAAAAAAATTCACAACAGCACGTCACCTAATTACACTTTTAGAAACCACCAGCTACATTTTCCTGCCATCCCAAAACCATTTATGACTGAGTTATTGACTTCTCCTTACAAAATAATGGATGTATAATATAAATTGAACTCTAGTGCCTGGAGATTTACTGGAAAAAAAAAAAGGCAAATCAATTTTTCCTATTATGTTGTAGAAAACTATCATAGGACAGTATGCTTAGAAAATCATGTATCTCTATAATGCTACTTTCACGTGATCTGTTTTGTGTGTCTCTTGCAGCTGCACAGTTGCTGAAAATTACAGTAAATTGCTGACAAAGCTAGGAAAATTAGCTGGCAACACTCCTCAAGTTGGGTAAGGATATTACCTCTCAACCTTTTAAAACAATATGTTTTGTAATAGTTCTCCTTTTTTCTGCATTCTCCTTTAAAAGGGCATTAAGTACATCATGTTGTGGCTAACTGTTAGGCTGGAAAATCTGCCCCTTTCCGTATTTGATTTCACAAAAAATTTGAATAAGTCACCTCTTACTTTATGATATTTAGGGGCAGTGGGTCTGCCCCCTCCATAATGGGGCCCCAGAACCCAACATGGATTTGAAACAGTTCAGAAGCTGTTTTGCATCAAAGTTTCAAGTTACAGTGATCTCATTAGCAGTAAATAATTAAGACTAAACTGCAGCCGGACATGTACTGTTTATTTGCTGGATCGTCTTTTAGGCTTTCTTGAAATAGTGTGAGTTGTAGAACCCCCATGTCATCTGGTTAGTTGATATATGAAGGTCGGTTAACAGATGTAATCAGTCGTTTTATCCTTGTGAAACCATTGAGGATGAGATTTAGCACCTATGAAATTGTCCGGAATGATAGTCCTTACTAATCAGTAGCAGTGCTAATTTATGTATACAATAGTTGACAGATCATCTTCCCTGTACAACAGACTAGGCAATAAGTGCTAGGAATCAACTCCTGAGAATATCAGTGTGTATGTAGCAGCAAACAGCGCCAGTTCTGAATTGGTTTACTATTCTTCTTTGGCACCCTGCTTAGCTCTGTTGTCAGATATCGTCCCTTTTTTAAAAACTTGCTGTTTTTTGAGTCTTACTTAATTCATGTAATCATCCTATTTTTTTTAGGACATTTAGCCCTTTGCTCATCTGCTCTCCATAGTATAGATATAGCAAGAGAGAGCTTTTCAGGTTTATTGAAATTGTCAGATATGTTGGGAAACCCCCTTCTTCTGCCTTCTATCTCCCAGGAGCAGAGGTCTTCAACTAGGTCATGTGAAGCCTTTTGTAGGCAGGTTCCTGATAAACTGGATTTTGCAGCTGTATTTTACAGGAAGAGCTAGCCAGACTCACATCAACCCTCTGTAATGACTGTTTACGACACGTGTGGTCAATTACAGAGTTACTTTTCTGTGTTTTCATTTTTGGTCCTAGCAATGCAAAGATGGATGAATTACTTTTAAATTACTGTATTTACAAGTGACAGATATTTTTGATATAACATGAAGTGTACAAAATGCAGAGCTTTGGGAGAGAACTAAACAAATCCTTGAGACTTAGGTGGTGAGGAAACAACACTGGTGTTGGATATGGCACATGTTAGGAAAACTTGATAACAGTTAACAAGAGTATTCTTGCACTGGAACCTACAAGTTAAACTAAATAGACCCAGAACACACAGAGAGAGTTTAATAGTGAGATGAAAATATATGGAGTGAGCTGCATGCCTACAATAGCAAAGGACAAAACAACTTGGTTCAAAAATGGCTGAGGGTCTCTGCCTTAGTGGGGGCTAAAGGGCTGAAAAAAAAAGAAGATTTAACTGAACCGGAGCACATGCAAGCGAGTTGAGTATAATTGTGGAGATCATGCGTCTTTCCTGTGGCAACGTGAGCCATGGTTTTTTACTGAGCCTTTGAAGAAAAATCAAAAGTTTTTGAAGTGAAATGCTACAGAAAAATTCTGACAATATCCATGGACCAAGAAGAGAAAAATGTCAACATGCCTGCATAATCTTAACAGTAAGGAGAATAGGCTCATAAGCAGCATCCTATCCTGAAAGCTGGCATATATTTGGCCATATCAAGCAGCAGCATCGTCTGGAGAGAACGGTGGTCAAGGGTGCATTTCTGGAAAATGATGCAGAACATTGAAGATGCACTGGCTATGAAAGCACACAGGGCTGGAAGAGAGCGGCCTTGTGTAAAAGACCTGCTAGTTGATTGATTAAACTGAATAGGTCATATGTTTTGGCAGAAGTAACATGTATATGCTCCTGCAGAAAGACAAATTAAGAAAGACATGTATATTAAGTAGAATTTTTTTTTGAAACTGAAAGATGCTTAAAATGCTGTTGATAAAAAGCTAAGAGATAAACAGGCAAGTTTTCAGCCAAATAAATTCTGCGCTGACCAGATAGCCGCATTATGTATAATAATAGAGCAAAGCATCGAACTGAACACACCACTTTACATTGGCCTCATGACTAAAAATGAATTTGACAGCATTGATAGCGAATCTCTCTGGAAACTTAGTAAAGGCAACTTATAAAGACATGAGGGAAAGCCAACAGATACATTTGAAATAAAAACAGGTGTGCGACAGGAATGTCTTTTGTCGCCCCTCCTATTTTTACTGGCAATAAACTGGATTAGGATGACAGCAACTACAAACACCAAGAATGGAATTAAGTGGACCCGTCGTACAAAAAAGCTTGATGATCTGGACTTTATTGATGATATTTCTCTTCTGTTCCACTCACGGAATCAGATGCAAGATAAATTAAATATACTTGATGTGAGATCACAAAAGTTAGGTTTGGTCATAGCCACTGAGTTAACCTTATGTGTCAGTTCTTCCCCACCAAGAAAATGGTTGAAACATTCCGTTTCTGGGTCAGCTTTTATCGAGTTTGCTGTTTAGACAGTTGCAGTCCCCTGCTGACGAGATTCTTTCTTCCCGAATGGGCCTCCATGATCAAAACATTGCAAAGGCAGTGTGGTCTGGGCTGCCAAATCTATCAGTCATTATCCCACCCCGACATAGGACAATTATAATACACGCTGCTCCCACGAAAAACACATAGTATCCTGCTTTGGAAATGTGCACAAAATAGCAGTCCATGATAAGGAAACAGAACAATCTGAGAGAAATCACAACCACCGAGAAAAAAATGCCGCTGCCATCCACCATTTTGAAAACTGAAGTCTGAAAATCCACAAGGGAAAGACAAAGATAATGAGGCAAATCAGGCAAATAGTCTTAATGGTATCCCACTCCAAGACAAGGAGTCTTACACCTATTTTGGCTGTAATGTGGATAAAGATGGGGGGACTGATAGATATATATTCAAATACAAATACAAAAGGCAAATACATAGCACTAGGGAATTTGTGGAGATTAAAAGAACTCAAAACTAATACTAAACTCAAAATTTGTAATTCCAATGTCAAATCAGTACTGTTGTATGGAACTAACACATGGAGAACAACTAAGGCAATTACTAATAAACTACAAACATTTATTTACTGGTGCCTGCGCAGAATGGAGGGAATTAATTGATATGATCTAATGTTGGGCGTTGCAAAAGAAAGAACCAAATAAGTTCCAGTGGACAAAGAGATCAAGAAAAGATGCTGGCATTGGATAAGACACACATTGAGAAAACCTTAGAACAATATAAATAGAATGTCTTTTCACTGGAACCCACAGGGGCATAGCAATTAAAAAAAAAGACAAAAAAAAAAGCACACGAAGAAGGAAGCTAGAGAATGAAGTTAAAAAGATTGGGAGGACATGAGGGGAACTGCATGCGATAGTGAAGGATAGAACAGCTTGGCGTGAATTGGTTGAGGGCGTATGCTCCATTGAGGGATTAGAAAGTCATCTAACACCCCCCCCCCCCCCTCCCTCATTCATTTTCCCTGTGCTGTTCTGTGACCTCAAATATGGGATTAATACAATATCCCAGCATTCTTGCAAAAACCAACTTGTGAATCTTCTTCTTCTTCTTCTTGTTCACCGGCTGTGAATTCCGGCGGTAAGTCGCGGTTGTTCGTCCAAAATGGACTTTTGGCTTTTACTTTGACCTGAGTTTTGCGTGTACATCCGTTTTACTGGCTTATTTGTTCGCAGTTCTCGTTCCCTGCCTCTCCGGCAGATGTACTCCGACTTCGGGGGAAGACGTCAAGCCTGTTTCTAGGTTGACTGTGGCCATTGTTTTGTGTGGGTCGAGATGTTGCCTCATTTGTGTGGTGTCCTCTTTGACCTTTAACAGGTGTGGCCCCCGGAATGTCGTCCTTGAGGCAGCTCTATGTAGAATTGTCAGCCCTCAAGGGAAGGCAGGGGCAGATCATGGGCATTCCCCGCCATCCAAGGAGGCTTCCATAAATGCAGAGCCGACACATGATGCTCTGGTTCTAGGCTCACCCAAGGAATCGTCACGTCCTGCCCATAACTGCTTAACCTCACAACCGTGTATTGAGCTTCCCACGCTACAAGGCTGCGCTCTCCGGAGATCAGCGGGGAGCAGCCCGCAGGTCTATGCTGTTTGTGGCCACACAAATAGGTACATTCTTTTTCATCTTACGTTAGACACCTTTAACATTGTTTCAGCTGTGCCCTTAGCACGACAGAATGGGGAAGCAAAATGCGTCAGGCGTGGCTTCACCTGTTTGGTCCCAACACTCGGGCGAGTTGGACCAGTGGATACGGACATTCAGACTTTTTCTTAATCGGTACGAATTATGATCGTCGGACTTTGAGCTTGCATGTGTGCCGTGGGGTATAACTTTGTTGGACATTATTTCCAAGCTAGCATATGAAAAGTTGCTGCCGTGGTGTACCTCAGCGCGGTGACGACAACACTGAGGATTGACAGAGGATGTACGTAGGTAGGATCTTACTGCGAGAAGTCGCCCACAAGAGATGTTACTCGTCTTGGCTGCGGGTAAATCTCTCGGTCAGGGTTGAGTCTCAGCAGCACAATTTTCCATTCGCTCCTGAATTTTAACCAAGAGTTGTCATTTGATGGTACATTTAGCAAGCAATCCTTGAGTTTTGTTAGACTTTTCACCCATGCGTTTGGGGGCGGTTGTTAGACTTTTCACCCATGCGTTTGGGGGCGGGCTGGTGAGAGCCAGAAAGGACACTACACCTCTAGGGGCCGCCAGCTCCGAGATCCCCTGCCAACTCTGTTAATGCTCATTTGAGACATTATCCGTGGCGCACGACGGGGACGTGCAGCAGGAGTCGTGCATGAGGTTCCGTAAAACGAGAACAGTGAAGGACTGGCGCCTGAGTGGGGTACGGAGTATCTCCTTATACACCTCACATCAGACTTAACTTTGCCTCATGCCTGTGACCGAAATCACCGCGCCACAACTTGTGAATGATAATATTTCTTACTCACTGATTTAGCTTATCATCTTTCAATCCTCTAGGACATTTGGACCATTCTGGAATGTAATTAAGACATTTATTGAGAAACTGTCCAGCTTACAGATGCAGCTTGTGCATACCTGGGCTGACTTGATCAAGGATATGGTCCGCTACAATGAGGAGCAGCACAAGCGTCACAAAACGGTAATTTCTGGGTTGTGTAAATAATACTGCTACTTGTACCTGATTTTCTTGTGAAGGAAGTCTTGTTATGAATGAACCTCTTTGACTCACAGGTCAGTGCCATATCCATCTTGGGACAGTGAATGTTAACAAAATGATTCACAGATTGACATTCATTAGTTGACGTCACATATCAGTTTGCCCCACTTCTAAGACAACCAGCTATACCAACAGAAATAAAATACAAATTATAATTGTGGCCTTTCATACCAACTTTAGGTTACTACTGTCACACTTGGACTTAGCCAAAGAACACGAGAGAAAAACTGGCCACCTGTGAAATTAGATGATTGAGAAAAGGCAGCAAATGAAACCAGAAGAAATCATGTGATAAATAAAGAGATTAGAAGACTGTTGGAAGAATATCCATTGAGAAACAGACTGAATTGGTCTTGTCTTGTCTTGTCTTGTCCACATGTGTTGTTGTTAGTCCGTGTTGCCTCAGGATCTCTGATATATTGTCTATCCATCGTACTCTCAGTAGGGCAGTAGTGTTGTTCGTTGTATGCTCATAGAGGCAGTTGGTCGGTTTGCATTCGCATCAAGTGGCCAAACCACTCTATTTGTTGCTTCTTTATGTATTGCAGGCATGGTGTGGTTCCTACAATTGATCTAATGTTCTCGTTTCGAACTCTGTCTCTCCTTGTGACATTGGCAGCCTTACGTAAGCATCTCATTTTGCACATCATGATCTTTTTCTCCTGTGCTCTCGTTAGGGACCAGGTTTGGCATTGGTAGCAGAGGGTTGGTATAAATATGCAATTTATCAGTTGTCGTTTTAGTGCCATAGTTAAGCTTGGGTGTTTTAGCAGTGGGGAGAGTTGGTAAGTTACTGCGTTCGCCTTTTGACATCTTGCCTCAAGTTCCCTATCAATTCTTCCATCATCTGTGAAGATGCTCCCCAACTGAATTGGTTCAGCCACATAAAGAGAATAAATGCAGCGATGTCAGCAGCGAGGCTGTACAGCATGAAAATGAAAACGCCAAGTGACTGAATTTGGCAGATCCTATTTATTGCACATTGAAGCCACTAAGTCCATAAATGCACAGATCCCTTCTTCAGCGAATCCCTCAGTGTGTACCTGCTGTTGACAGCAATTCTTTATTCACATTTAATGTTATTCTTTAGCACCAAATACATTGCAGCAAATTCATTGAAAAACAGAAGATCAAATGGTTTGATGGTAAGAATGCAGCCAGAACAACTACCAGTGCAGGCGCTATACAGGAAAGGATCTGAAGTGAAACCAAGAGGCTGTCATTTGAGAATATGGATTGATGTCATTAAAGAGCTTCTACATCGACATAAAATGACAGGAGCCATTGCTGCCTAGCAAGCAATGGATCGCAAACTGTTCTCCCACAACACTTAATGGTGATGATGATTTCTTTAGCACCTTGCTGGCGCTCAACCCTTTTGCTGTTTTGTGTGTGTGTGTGTGTGTGTGCTGTATTGGAACATCTAATGTAGAGGTTTCGGTGCTAACATAATATAGTGAAACATCTGAGCGGTTTGTTTGTTTTAAATTGATAATTAGACTAGCAAGTTCACATTTTGTTTAATTGTGTGTGTGTGTCTTTTGTTGTTGTTTCAAGATGAAAGAAAATGAACAAGGCACTCTTGATGCTGTTCAGACAATTCAACAAACCACAACAGCTGTATCCAAGGTAACTATTGTTTCCTTTCTCTTTTTAATGTTTTCATTAAGTGTCTGACTTTATCCATTGCTCAATTTTACTTGCTGCTTTTTTCATACATGTATGCTTGGTAATTTCTCTCTCTCTCTCTCTCTCTCTCTCTCTCTCTCTCTCTCTCTCTCTCTCTCTCTCTCTCTCTCTCTCTCTCTGTGCGTGTGTGCGTGCGTGTGTGCATGCGCGCGCGCTTGCTTGCTTGCTTTTGATACTTGTATGTCCCCATCTGTTACAACCTGTATACTTGTTACTTGTATGTCATCCATCTGTTACAACCTGTATACTTGTTACTTGTATGTCCTCCATCTGTTACAACCTGTATACTTGTTACATGTATGTCATCCATCTGTTACAACCTGTATACTTGTTACTTGTATGTCCTCCATCTGTTACAACCTGTATGTTCTATGTTTCATGCGGCTTTATCTTTCTATCTTTGATGTAGTTTTTCTGGCACCCGCCCTTTTCTGTTATTTCTTTATCCATCTCCAAGCTTGTAGTCAACTAGCAGCTGGCATTATCTGCATGGGAACTCTTCGTTGGCTGCTGAGGAAGTGGACAGAGCAAGTGTGGGAATGTCCCTAGTGCAGTGATATCAGTTCTTGATTTCCCCTTGTCGGTTCTGGAGCCCTATTATAGGAAAAACAAGAATAGACCCACTGCCTACCCAAAAGCATGTCGTAAGAGTCTATTAATTGGGACCTTCCTTTGAAGTTGGAGTGCATCTGCCTGAAAGGCTAGGAACCAATAGTATGCATATAAATAAGTCAGATCTGTCAAACGAATGCATACGCAACACTCAGGTTCTGTAACAGGACTGCAGTCCAGAAGAGGACGAATAAGCAGAACTTTCCGCCTGAGTTTACAGCTGGTGTACACAAAGAAGAAGTAGTTGTTGATTCATTCATTCATTCAACTTTATGTTGAATGTTACTGTAACAGGGCTATATTTTCTTCACAGTAACAGTAGAGAACACTTTTCCACTACTTAGGTGTATTGGGAATATAGGGCTAGACCTATGTTTTATAGACCAGTCAGCACTCAGTGGGGATGTGGTCAGCATCGTGCCGGCCACCTTTACTTCCCAGGGCTCTGACCGATTTTAGGCTGGGTCAACCTGAAGCTAAGATTGTTGTTGAAAAGATGCAGCTTGATGCTGATTTAAACCTATGACCTTCGGCCTACAGTTGAGCGTCTAGTCGCTGCATCACAGGGAAGGGCATACTAAGAAATTGTAATATTAGAAATTAGAACTGTGTACACGAAAGAGTTGAATAGGATATGACCTAGAAGCAGACAAAGAATACACAGGCAGACCAACAAACACTCACAGTCACCAACCGAAAAGGGAAGTCCAGTTACAGACATAAATGAGGTGGGTGATATCTGCAGCAGTGAACCTTAAGGGCACAGAAAATAAAAGAAGAAAATAGAAATTTAATGGGTACTGTGCTCTGAGTTGAAGTTATAGAGGTACAGAAAAAAAGTGGTTTGGACGTCTTGCTAGAATTAATGCCAATCAGCTACTGTGTACACCTTTATTCAGAGACTTTCTACCTGGAGAGCTGAGGAAAACCAAGAATTTGTTGGATTGATTATCAACACCAACTTGGTCCAGGTGACACATTTTTTACCAGAAAATGCTGACTACAAGCCATAACTAATATGGATCATGTCATGACATGAGAAGGAGAAAACTTAAGTACATGGTGAGGGTGGGGAAAGTAGGAAGGGAAAAGAGGCAGAACGAGACAGAGAGAGATGATGCTGAACAGTTTGACATTGTGGGACACAGTGATTTATTGAGAGCACGCAAGACTAAAGGAAGTGTATAAACATGACTACCAACGCCACACAACATGCACTATAAGAAGAAGAATATGGGTAGAGAAGGACAACTGAAATAGTTGCAATGAAACATTACACATATATTTTCAATTCCACTGCTTCAGTACCTTTGGAATTTATAATGAATATCAAATTACTTCATTCTTTTGTAGGAAGTTAGTTTATCATTAATAATTGTATGAGGAATAAGCATCCAAGGATTTGCAACACCTGTCTTACTAGACAAAGCACCTGGGTTCTAATATCTCTTAAGACAAGTTTTTTTTAAACCTTTTTGAGTAAACATATTGTCCCCAAATCATAAGTCTGAACACTACATACAGGGTTGGACAAGAACATTTAATTTTTCCCAGCATAAACTTCAGTGATCTGAACATCAAGGAAGATTGGCTAATAAACAGCATCCGTTCTCGAAAGCTGAAATATTTTGGTCATATCAAGCACCACGACGGATTGGGAAAAAAATTATAGCAGAAGGCATGGTACCAGGAAGGAGGGGCAGGGGCCGACCGTCACGAAGATTGGCACAGGATATAAGTGACTCCTTGAGTGTGAAAGTGCATGAGCCGGGAGAACTGGCGAGAGACCGAGTTTCTTTCAGGCAGACTGTGATGAGAGCGATGTTCTGCAAAGGACCTGCTACATGATGATGATGACACTCCAGTGATATTAATTGCCACAAAGATCATTATTTTAATTTGTTTCAAGGTTTTTGTTCCACAAGAATACATGAATCTGTGATGGATATTTTGTATTTGTTTCATTTGACATAAAAATGCATACAAAAAGTGTAGTGAACGTATATAATTCAATGGCATATGTTACCAGGCAAAGGAGATATATCATACACGGTGTATTGAGCTCGAAAGGCTGAAGCGGGATGGAGCTTCTGTAAAAGATGTTGAAAAGGTATTGCTTTTTTTTTTTTTTGATGTTAAAATTTCTGATGTTGTGTACAGTGTAGTTGCAGCTTTCATGTCCTCCTGGCGGGCAAGAGGACCTCAGTATTTTTACCTCAAAATTCTAAGTTTGGCTTATACCTACCAAATGTATTTTATACATATAGTTTGGAAAGTTTTGTTTAAGCTTGAAAACTTGAATTATTTGCCACAGTATATGATAGTTTGCTAAACATATTCTTGATGAAAATTAACAATTGACTTGTTTGCAGGAAAATTATTTGGAGGTTGTGGAAATGTATTTTACAGAAAAATGATGCCCCCAGTGTGGGTTCTGGGGCCCCATCGATTGCATCTGCCTGAGAGATGAGGAATCAGCAGTCTGCATACTAATAAGCCAGATCTGTAAAATGGATTTGTATGCAAAACTAAAGTTCTTGAACAAGACTACAGTACAGAAGTGGAGGAACAACCAGAACTTTCTGCCTGAATTTACAGCCGGTGAATGCGAAAAAGAAGAAGAATTATGAGAATACCATGACTGAATAAAACCTATGATAAAGACATATTGAAAGCAATTAATTTACAAAGAGATAACTGATTTTTAGCAACATTGGAAATACAATTTACATTCTTTGGACATCTCACATCATCATCATGTAGCAGGCCCTTTGCAGAACGTCGCTCTCATCACAGTCTGCCTGAAAGAAACTCGTACTTCCGCCAGTTCTCCCGCCTCATGTACTTTCATCATACTCAAGGAGTCACTTATATCCTGTGCCCATCTTCGTGTCGGTCTGCCCCTGCCCCTCCTTCCTGGTACCATGCCTTCTGTTATTATTTTTTCCACTATCGTCGTGGCGCTTGATATAACCAAAATATTTCAGTTTCTGAGAAAGGATGCTGTTTATTAGCCAATCTTCCTTGATGTTCAGATCTTTTAAGATGTCAATATTTCTCCTCTTCTTTGTCCAAGATATTTTGAGAATCTTTCTACAGCATTTCAGCTTAAAAACCCCTAATCTCTTTCTTAACTCTGAGTCCCAGGGGGTTTAGCATCACAGGCCCAGGGGGTAGTAAAGAAAGTAATAAAATCGGCGCATCATGCGTTCATTGGGCTTCTAGGTAGGAACCTATGAACGTATGATGCGTTCCATGGGACTCAAAGAGTATAGGACTGAGAGATAGTCCATGACTCACATCCGTATGTAGCTACAGGAAAGATGCATGCTCTCAAAATTCTAATTTTTATCTCCTTGCTGGTGCTTAACCATAGACTTTTAAGGCTGTTCAATCTTTGCCTTGCTATGGGTATCCTCCTTTTAATTTCTGTCTAACAGTCTCCATTACCATTTATAATAGAGCCTAGATATTCAAAAGTTTGTGACATTTTCAATTTCTTCATCATTTATTATTTTTGGGTGACAGACAGTTTTATCTGTGAACATTATTTTCATTTTCTTTAAATTTAAGAACAGATTTTGATTTTCACTGCTTTTGGACAAACAATATTAAATTTTCTATTCCTTTTATGCTGTTCGGAAGGAGGACTGTGTCATCTGCGTAGCGGAGTTCCGGAATAGGGTTGCCACCAATTTTGAGCGGACATCTCACACCAAAGGGAAAACAAATGTGTCATGACATCGGGAAAGTTAAAGGGGTCTTGAGTCATAGAAAGATCAAGAAAGACAATGTTTGAAAATTTGGTACCATGGCACGGAAGAACGTGTATTTCAGAAATGATTGACTGTAGATGGATGTGATTAACACCACCACCATCATCATTATCTTGTTGTGGCACATAGGCTTTGCAGTCTATTCTTCCATTGTGTTCTGTCCTGTGCAGTCCTTTTTATGTCATGTGTGTAATGCTCATTTGCATCGCGTTGCCTTTCTTGAACAACATACCATTTTGCATGCTTACTACCATGTTTGGTTAATCATATGAAAATATAGAGCTGGCAAAACCACTTTATAAATGTGCTATCCTTCCAGTTTATGGATAAAAACCACAGAGCATTGTGGCTGGGAGATTTCAGTGATTACCACTAACTCAGTAGCTGTCGAGCCTGCTTCCAACAGTACCACCAGTTGTTGATTTACCCCCCCCCCCCCCCCCCCAATCTGTTCTTCTTCTTTATGCCCTCTTTTACCACTTCGGGTGGTCGAGGGAAATATAAGGTCCTGCTTCGTGCTCTTCTGTCTGTTTCTACCATAGACACATTGTT